GTTTGCAGGTTGAAGATGGCTTGGTCGCTCAAATAGTGGATCGCACTCTTACAACTGGAAATGGCTTTGGAAACTTGACGTACCACCAAAAATTCGGGTATTCTTATGGAGATCATGTCTGGAAGCTTTACCGTGTAAAGTTGAATTGTTTCGACGGAGGATTGTCTCGGACCCGTTGTGCGATATTTGTGGAATAGAATCCGATTCCTTGCCGCATATTTTCTTTCACTGTCATGGAGTTAGGCAGGTGTGGGAACATTTACCAATTTCTCTACCCACTAGCGACACAATTCCCTCGGTTTGGAGCTGGGTGAGCAGATTGGCCCGAGAGCTTTCCGTAGAACAGTTTAACCTGGCTGCAGTGGTTCTTTGGAGCATTTGGGATCGCCGGAATAAGCTGTTGCATGGTGATGAATATCGGGCATTTGGGGAAATTGTGGGATGGAACAGCACGTACATGGAATCATATCGTGGAGCTCGTTTGAGTGGTAGCGTCATCGACAAGCGGTCCCAGGCCATCTTGTGGTCTCCACCACCAATAGGGGTGATTAAAGTTAACGTTGATGCTGCCTTTTCGCAAGGTAATGATCACTATTACACATCTATGGTTGCTAGAGATTCACAAGGTCAAAGTATGTGGTGGCAGAATTTTAGGCACCTTGGACGTGTGTTACCTGCTGAGGGGAAGCTCGGGCTGTTTTGCAAGCTACTATTATGGCGTTAAGCTTATGATGGCCTGACATTATTATTGAGGGTGATTGTCTCCCACTGATCGATGCGCTCAATGGCCGAGGTTCTTCACTTACTTCATTCGGTGCTATTATTGAGGCAGTTTTAGCTCGCTCTTGTCTCTTCTCTTCTATTTCCTTTCCTTTTGTCAGCTGTGATACCAATAAACTAGCTCACGAAATTGCTTCGCGTGAGAATTTGGATTCATTGGAAGGTGTAACCCTCCCTCTGTTTTTTGCCATGAGTGCCTAATATAATTATGTTTTTCCCGTAAAAAAAAAAGATCCTTTCCGAAGTTTGTTTTTTGTTAAAATTTTATTAACTAGTCTCCATGAGAACGTAGTTGTTTCATTATGTTAAAGAATAGAGATTTAATGGACGAATTGAGAACCGTGGAATCAAAAAAATCGACCTACAAATGTCGATTTTTTGGATGGTGAGTCAAAATTTGCAGGTCGATTATACGGCAAATGTTTGACATGTCAATTTTTATCAGCCATTTTCAACATCATGCTAATGTCGATTGCTTATCAAAAAATCGACATCTTGCTTTTCCTTTTCGAGTGTTCCACTCGATCTTCAAATGTCAATATTTGTTTGTTTCAATTTTTTATATATATGAAGGCAAATTTTTAGTTCTTATAAAAGCTTAATACAAATACGGTATAACTCTTGGATATTTGACTTTCGAAGTCAAATATAATTTAATGTTTTAACTTTCTTTCAACAAATTTTATTTATTTAGATAATGGGGTTTATTGTTGTTAGTTAGTGGCCCGTTATTTTGAGCTTAGTGGTTAATTATTTTAGCACATGTTTAATTAGTCCACTAACCCATCAACCCACTAACTATCTCTTCTAGTGTGTTATTTTTTGTGCATTACAAGGAGCTCTCGGATTCTTTAAATAGGAAAGGTCATCAGTTCATTTACTACTGATTTTTGAAGAGAGTGGAGAGTATAGAGCTTTGGTTGTTAAAACATGTTCTACAACATCTTATTTTGTTTATATTTTTCTCACTACAGAATAATGGATCTTCTGCTCATTCTGAATCTGCTCAAAATAGGCATGAATTTGAAAGTATTTTTGCAGTAGTTTATGATTTATTTAATTTTTGACCAATGTTCTTGCTTTTGTTTTTAACTCCTTATTTATTTGAACTCCTCTCTTTTGTTTTTTTATATTTGATATAATATTCAGAGGGAGTTTGAAGTATTTGATGCAAAGGGAGTCACTTAAAATTGGTTTTGATGAGAAAGTCAATAATGATGAGTTTGTTGGATATTTGACTTTCAACATCACAAATAATTTAATGTTTTAACTTTCTTTAAATCATTTTTATTTATTTAACACTACTAGAAATACAGTTTATCAAGACGCCACAATGTGTCACGAAATGTACATATTGAGACGGTTTATCTATTGGGACGGCCCACTAAACCGTCTCATAGGTAAGCGTCCTAATATATTGTTGTCACGCATTATCAGCGGCGTCCCAATAACTTTAATTTATGACGCTCTAAGTCGTCCCCAATTCATTTCTATTATGACGCCAGATATCGTCGTATTAGGTGTTTTAACGGCTTTACTTAACTTTAAATATGACAACCTAAAGCGTCCCAACAAATTGCACTAGCCGTCCCAAAACAGTTTTCTTGTGACATTGTCAACCGTCGTATTAAATATTCCAACAGTTTTAACTGATTTTATTAACCGTCTCAATAAGTGTTAATGTGACACAGACGTCGTCCCAATAGGTGTTATCGTTAAGACCAAATTTGTCCCCAGTGCAATTTTTATGACACAATCGGGCACACCATATAGATTAAACTAAAAAAAAAAATCTAATTTTCACTTTTCAAATATAAATTATAGTCAATCATTTCTCAAATAATTAAATCGAACACCACCTCCATTGGGGTTGAAAAACACAATCAGTCACTAAGTATCCATTTCATTTTTCCAAGGCAAAATAAATAGTAAAGTAACAAATATTTTCATTTCAAACAAAAAGTTTTTCCCAAAAAAAATTCTAGTTACTGCACTAGTTAATAGAAAAACATATAATATCAATAAAAGTCTAACAATTTTGCAAAATGTACCAGAACATGAGCAATACCTAAAGCTCATCCAAAAACAAAGTCACCTAGGGAATTATCTTATATCAGAACTTGAAAGCTCGTCTCCATGAAATCTCGAAGTCCATGTTCTGAAAATTATCCATCTACTGTAACCTATTAAGACAACCAAACAATAAATTATATCACTAATAAAAAGGACCAGAATAACTTTTAGTATATTGAAATACAAAGAGTATTACCAAATTATGTGGCCATGCAATAGCCTCACCAATAGCATCACCAATAGTAGTTCTAGAATCTGATATCGGTCGAAGTAAGTCTTCATCCATAGCTATTCCAACATTAATAATGATTTCGCACCAATTTTGCCCTAGTCGTACTTGCCCAACGCATTTCGATGGATCCAAGCTTGCAAGAATACCAATTGCTACAATTTTTGATGATTCAAACATACTTCTCAGACATACTTTTGCTCCAACCTACATTAATAATTATAAATTGATAATATGAATTGCAAAGTCAATCAACTATAAATCATTCACCACATGTAATTCCAATTTAATACACGATAAATAATCAATGTTCATATGACAAGGGAAAACTGAGGGATTACCTTTAGAGGCGTCTTGCTTGACGACGAGACTGAGGGGCCACGAGAGGTCGAATGGGGGTGAGATGATGATGAAGTGACTCTATTTTCAGATGGAGGTGGAGAATAGTGGCTAGGTCTTTGTTGGTTCATTTTTATGAACTCCGTTATCATCTTTTCTTGTTGTTCAACTTTTTGCTTTAATGCATACATTTCATTCTGCCATACGATGTTATGAGAAGACCTTCGTCTAGGCATGTCACCGTAAACATCAGAGGCAGTGACACCGCAACCATACATCCTTATTCTCCCCCGTTTATCTTGTCCCACAACTTGAGAAAAAATGTCATTTGGGCCACTATCATTTGCATTACCTGGAAGTTCACTTATTAATTCTTTCATCTTACGCTGCGCATGTAAATGATCAAATCAAACTTCTAAATTAGACAACATTAAACCGTTGCATTATCATATTTAAAATTTTAAAATATATGTATATAAAATGAATGTACTCGCTTACGAGAGAATCTGCTACATTCGGATTAGATGACTCTCCATTGCGAGTATAGCATTTCTCAAAAAGTTCAGACCTACTTGGTTCAATTACGATAGGATCAACATGTGTTCCATCACCACTTTGTTCATCATCAACAGTAGCATCTTTCGATGCTTCTAACTCTGTCTACAAGATAATATGTATAGTTAGTTGAATAAGTACATGATGCATGCTATTTGGAATAACTATCTCTACGATAAAACAAACCTTCATATGATGCCTAACTTGCGCAAAGCTCCGTTTTCCAGTAACATGATGCATGCTCTTGTTTCCTCTGTTATCTTTGTTTTTATCACTTACTTTCTAAATATGCAAAAAAAAAAAAAAAACTTCTATGGATCAATAAATTACAAAGTGAATTAATCACTAGTTATACAGTAGCATTATTTTCAATTAAGATTTTATTAAAAAAAAATTCTACCTGTGCAGCATCACTACTCCAATAAATCACAGCATTTTTCCATTGATCGCAAAGAATTCTTTCATCATCAATATCAGGTCTCCTGCGCAAGTTTTCTTCCAGTGATTTGTTTCGATCAAAATAATTTGATTTTATTCTATTTTTCCAGCTCCTCCAACTCTTTGCTAAATTCATCAATGTTCTATTTTCAAAGCCAGGTGCATCATAGAACTTCTCCTGAATTATGCAAACATAGTGATCAAATAGTTTCAAAACATATATATTTCAATTGTATAAAGACGAGGGTTAAATCGTATTACCTTAACCAAATCCAGCAACTTGCTTTTAGTAGAATTCGGCACTACATGCCAATCTTTAATGTCAATAGGAAGTAACTTGCCATTTCTAACTAATGTACCGATAAATTCAACATATTCACTTTTGTTTGGACCAATTGGTTGGCCATACTCATTGAATTCAACTTCTTTACGCCCACTCCTTACCCAGACACGTGCCATGTAAGTAGGCCCTCTAGTTTTTTTATCACAAACATCTTTTGTAAAATTAAAAAAAAAAAATAGTTAAATAAATTGAAGGGAGATTTACAAAAAATACTATGGACATGTATACTACAATATTAAAATATTAAAATGCAGGGGGGAAGATCTTTTCAAGCTGGCAAAGTATGAGAGCAATCTCTTTTTCCATTCGTGTCAAATCACCGACTTGAAGTGTTTTAGAACACAAGTCTCTAAAGTAACGACTCAAATGAATCAAAGGTGAACGTACCGACTTTGGCAAAAGATTGCGCAATGAAAGGGGCAACAATTGTTGCATCATTATGTGACTATCATGACTCTTCAAACCAAAAATCCTAGTTGGTTTCAAGTGCACACACCTCGAAATATTTGCAGCATAACCATCGGGCACTTTAACATTTTTCAACACCTTACAAAATCTTTCCTTCTCAGATTTATCTAATGTGAAAGATGATGTCGGTATCCACTCTTTTCCAAACTCATCGGAATAAGGATGGAGTGCATTCCTAATGCCCATTTTCTTCAAATCCATGCGGGCTTTATAGTTATCCTTTGACTTATCGGAATCGATTAATGTATACAAAACCTTATCACACACATTTTTCTCAATGTGCATAACATCGAGATTATGACGTACAAGATTTTTTTCCCAGTATGGCAAATTAAACAAAATACATTTTTTTTCCAGCTGTAAGGTAAATTTAAATCGCCCACATTCTTTCCAAACTTGTTATCAATATTTTTGATATCATCTAATACTGTGGATCCCTTCAAATAAGGAGGTGCCTTTCGAAGTTCCTTTTTCCCATCAAACGTGGCTTTCTCATTTCGATACGGATGACCATCGGGTAAGAAAATACGATGACACATGTAACAGTACTTGCGAGAATTGTCTAACCATTTAGAGTTAGTAAACTTATAACACACGGGACAAGCGAATTCTCCTTTCGTACTCCAACCAGATATAGATGCAAGGCCAGGAAAGTCACTAATAGTCCATAATAAAGCTGCACGCATTTGGAAATTTGTTTTCGAAGAAGCATCGTATGTAGTTACTCCAACTTCAAATAATTCCTTTAGCTCAGCAATCAAGGGTTGCAAATATACATCAAGATTATTGCCGGGTTCAGAGGGACCAGGTATAAGTACAGATAACATAAAGTAAGACTTCTTCATACAATCTGCAGGTGGAAGATTGTATGGCATTAATATTACTGGCCATGTACTATGGGCTACATTCATGGTTTTAAAAGGATTAAAACCATCAGTTGCCAAGCCCAATCTTATATTGCGAGAATCTCTAGCAAATTCGGGATTATTGTAGTCAAAAGTTTGCCATGCTGGAGAATCGGCTGGGTGTCTCATGATACCATCCTTAGTTCGTTCTTCATCATGCCACTTCATAAGGACCGCAGTTTTAGAATTCATAAACAACCTCTGCAACCTTGGCTTCAACGGGAAGTACCAGAATCTTTTTACAGGCACCTTCTGATCTTTATTAGATTTTTTCAATGGAAGATCATTCTCATCCGGAGTACTTTCTGGTGTGGTCCACCTTGGCTCATCACAAGTCTCACACTTGGTCTTATATTCATTCACGCCCCAGTATACCATGCAGTCATTTTTGCATGCATCAATCTTCTCATAATTTAAACCCAAATCCTTCATTATCTTCCGAGTTTCATAATAATTATTAGGCAATTGAACATCCTCTGGAAACGATTCTCTTAATAAGTAAGCAACAAGGTAAATGAACTATCACTCCAATTACCAAGACACTTTATCTAGAGTAATCGAATAATGAAAGAAAGTTTGGAAAACTTTTTACATCCAGGATAAAGTTCTTTTTCTGCATCTTTCATGAGCTTATAGAACTTCTCAGCTTCTTTACAAGGTCTTTCTACTTCCTCGATATTTGGAATTGTTTCTTCATCATTGATTTCATCATGCACGAAAAATGCATCATGCAACATTTCTTCCATGTTATCAGATGCATTCATATGATCATATTTATTTGACGGCACTTCGTTAGAGAATAACTCTCCATGAAGTAGCCATTTAGTGTACCCACTCAAAAACCCATTCCAGAGAAGATGTTCTGACACAACCGAACGTGTTTTGCATAGACCATTTTTACATTTTTTGCACGGGCATAAGATCATCCCATCATTTGAATTTGAGAAGGCTAAGTTCAAAAAATGTTGCAATCCTATTCGATATTCATTGCTTGACCTCGGTAGATCCATCCATGTTTTGTCCATCTAAGTATTTTTGGAATGAACCAGAAGTAATAAAAAACATAGAAGTAATACAATAATAAATTAGAAAGTAAGTGAGTAAGAAATAAAACTTTTAAACTTCAAATCTTACGAATAATTCACCCAAGCAACCAAGATCTCTCCAGAAATTGAAATCACCTCCGTTGAGTGACTTAGACCCCTGATCATCATGTTTAATTAGAAGAAGTTAGTTTTAGAGAACAGTCGAAATAAAAATATACATGCATTATCAAAAAATTAACACGATTTGAGTACTCGATTAGACCTCCCCGTACTAAATCATATTAATTTGATTTCAATTTACATATATCAAATTCTTATTATACCTACTGTACAAGTTCACAAGAATTACATTGAAAAGAGTCAGAGTTATAAGGAAACACCATATCTGGAACATGGAAAAAAAACATTTATGTCTGATTCCAACCATACACACCAACATCTAAGGTCATACAATTCAGTCAAAATCATTCTTTAGTAACTGAGCATTACTAGAGTCTAGAAGACGACCAATTCAGAACTCTTCCGAGAGTTCCTTTTTTTTTTTATGACGTTTTAAGAGAAAAAGGAAACACTTAACAAATTTGTAGAACTCGACAATTCAACCGGTATTTATTTTATCGATATACAATATACTATCAAGTTTATATTTTAAAAGGAATTCATATATTACATATTTTTAACTATAATGAACACATAAACGTTCTCTCAACCATGGCAAAACATCTCTAGAATAATTTTAAGAATAAATCTAAACAAAAATATAACTAACTACTCACTGAAATACATATTGTTACAAGAAAAAAAAAATTACTAGTTCAAACACTTCAACTCACCACAAATAAATAAAAAAAAAATGGTTCAAACAATTATTTAAATCTGAACTATGTTCTGAAACCGGAAAAAAAAAACCGGGGGAAAAAAGGGGGGGGGGGGGGGGGGGCAAGGGAGAACAAAAATCAAAGTTATAGAGGGAAAGAGATATGCGAGAGAGGGGGTATTACCCAAGATTAATTATTCCACCAAAATCAACCCCACCAAAATCAAAATCCCACCAAAATCATAGTTTTCTTATGGGTTTGCCTAATTGGAGCAACATACGTAATCATAGGGTCATTTATATGTCAAATTTTATACATAAAACAAAAATTAAATAAATGGAACTAACCTCACTTCAATAACCAGATGATGAACTTTTTTACCTTTTTGAGAAGGCAAAGCACGATACTTCAATGAAAGATAATTATTTGGCAAAGGAGAAACACCACCATCCGTAATAGAAGAGGAACCGTCAATTAGGGTAGTATGAATAGAAATTGTAAATTGGGGGAAGGAGAAGGAAAAAGGGTTAGTAAAAAGGTTGAGATAATGGGTTGTGACTTATGCCGCCAAATATTTCGAGGGTAAGGGGAAATTTTATGAATTAATTTAGGGAATTTTCCGCGCAGGTTTTTTGTTTTCGTGACAATTAATAGAGAATATACGACGCCTCATGAAAGTCGTCTCAAAATAAGTAGTCTATTACAACGGATTCCTAAAAAGCGTCATATTTGTTATATTCCGAGAATTAAAAAATTAAAAGAAAATGTAATATTGAGAAAATGGCCCGCTTCTAATTTTATCCGTCTTTATAGTACACTTTTTGAGACGATAATTAAAGAGTGTCATATTAGGGCGTCATTGAAGCGTCACAACAGCCTGATTTTCTAGTAGTGTAAATAATTGGGTTTATTGTTATTAGTTAGTTGTTATTAGTTAGTGGACGGTTATTTTAAATTTAGTGGCTAATTATTTTAGCACATATTTAATCAATTCACTAACCCATTAACTATTCTACTGTGTTATTTTTCGTGCGGAACAAGGAATTCTCGGATTCTATAAATAGAAGAGGTCCTCAGTTCATTTACTACTGATTTCTGAAGAGAATGGAGAGCAAAGAGTTTTGGTGTTGGAGCATTTTCTAATACAAAATTGAGTCTGTTTGTATTCAATATCATTGAGTATTAGTTTGTATTCATAGAGTTCTTTTATGCATAGATCGTCATTGATTTTAGAAATTCTTGTACTCTTCATGAAAGAGAAGATCATTACTTTTTTGTGTGTATTCTTTGAGTAATTTTTTAATAAAGTTTTTGCGCGTAAAGGGTTATATACTTTTGGATAATGATTTAAAACTTGTTTTATTTAATTTCTGCTACATAACATTTCTTTACACAAACTTTTATCAAATCATATATGTAAATCTCTAATTTTGTATTTTCTATATTAACTTACACGAAGTCAAAGGCAATAAATTTTTCCAATAAGTTAAATACAAATTTCTTACAATTGTTAAACTTGCACGATTTTTCCATAAAAGTTCACAAATATCAGTGATGAACCTAATGGTAGATCTCCATAATTTATTTCT